AAAAAAAAAATTAAAATTTCTAATGATAACAAAATTAACAGAAATAGATTCGGAAAATGGTATGTCGCAAAATAAAGCTCGCATTAAACTTTTGTAGATGAAACAATTCAATGTAAGATTTATAATAAATATTGTTATACTGTACATGAAATTTTACCGTGATTTAGAAATGTACAGGATAGCGTAGATCTTGAGACAAATAACATCTTGTGTAAAAAATAACAAAGTAACACATTACACATGTTAAGATATACTGTATAAGTAATACTATATTATCAATATGCTTTGTTATTGCAATCTCATGACAATAATTCTATTAATACGCATGCTCTGAAACATTTGCGCCTGATGCTTTGACATAATTGTGAGACAGAGAAATAAATCCTCTCTACAAGTGAATTCGAAAGGATTAATAATGAGAAGAAGAGTTCAAAGTCAAAACTATCTAAAGACTAATTACCGGAACCGACAAAAAACAGAATAGAAAATCGCAAAACTGGTAAAAGTCACATGATTAAAGATCGCGTAGTGATAAAAGTTTACATGACTTAAAGTACGTGTCGCAAAAAATCAGAGTCAGGCAAAGATGCCATCATATCGTAAGCTTTATAAGCAAAACACGATGGAATAAGACCTAAAGTTATGCAAATAGAGAAGGTTATAATAAATAAACGACTCGACCCGTTTACATTAAATACCTTACATTATTATGTTATTGTACCTAATTATGGTAATAATTTGTATATCAAACTATTTTACGTACGTATTACGTATTACGTAGTATCTTTTCATGAATTTATCTCGTTGCATTCACACTATTTAATTCTTTCATCTTTTATTTTTTTTTGACGAGACATATTTTCAATGCCTTCGCCGCAGAGGAGAAAAAGAGCAGCAAAAAACATTTACCATCATTTTTTTTGTAAATGTGGAATAAGACTTGACTCATTTCAAGAATTCTTGGATCATATAAAAATCTTTCACCAAATTCAAAACGCGAACTTCCATTCCATCTTTTCCAAATTGAACCGATTCAAAGGAAGCATTAAATTTTACTGGCATTTTACTTGTCAGTGTGGAAACAAATTTTCCTCTTCCTTATGCAACGCCGATTTAAAAGTAAATGGTGGACGGATAGAAATATTAAAGAAATATCGACTTCGTTGCCTAAAGTGCAATGAAAATGCTACGTTTGATCAAGAAGAATCGTTAAATAAATTTCTGGAACAAAGGTTTAAGCAGAAACTAATTTATAAGGTTTATAAGAAGAAATTTGAGGAGTATGATGAATACGAGAAAGATAGTGCGAGAGAATTAAAGGGCCATCGACAAGAACTCTGCGAAAAATGTCGATTACATGGCAAACATTGCGGCGAATTATAGAGGTAATTTACTCTACTTTCTAATATTATTGATTCGGCCTTTCATAAAAGTGACATGTTCTCTTTTGCCAATACGTAATTAGGTCGTGAGAAATGCTTGAATAATAATGAAGTTGATGATAGTATTATTTTGGTTTTATTTTTATTTTTTTTTCCATTAGCTTCTTTTTGATGAAGTTTAACCAAGAAATTATTTTTTACTCTTAATTATGTTTATTGGAATTTTCAAATGATCTTCCATTTCGATTTAGTAGGTGTTCTTACCTTCGTTTTGTAAAGCTAGAAATCTAAGATCATTTGTTGCAATGAATTTGGAAAGTATATTGTTACATTTTTACCAGTAATTTTATAAAGTGTCTTATTGTTATACATAATCGACAAATGATAAAGTTATAATGAATGATATCATTCGTCATGGTAGTCAATTCCGAAACGATTCTGTGAGTAACAAATGGATTTATTATTAGCGATGAAGCAGCACTGCATATGCTATAAAATCTGATGCCAATAATGTTGTCTTGATATACAGTATATCTGGATAACATGGTAGAAGTAATAAAAAAACACGAAGTATCACGATTTTTATGGTCATGTATTATGAGCATGTTCTGAAATTCGATTTTTGAATTAGGCTATTATGAGTTTTAATTAATAAATACTATATTACTAAAATAAATAGCAAAGGATACTAACATATGATTAGGGGATCTAGAATAAGAAGAATCCAAATTCATATACTGTCTAAAGACTTATTATCAAGATAACTATTTTGTTTCCAAATAGTTTAAATTCGAATATTTACTTAAAATGGATGAAATTTTTGATATATATTTACTTAAAATGGATGGAACGTTTAATATATATTATACAGTATACGCATGTGATATGGTTTATAATATAAGTTTTGATAAATTTTTTAATTTATTCTTTATTTTGCGACATACCATTTTCCGAATCTATTTCTGTTAATTTTGTTATCATTAGAAATTTTAATTTTTTTTTT